TGTGAGATTGGATAAAATGTGTAATCATTTAATGATTTTTCCACTACTTCAAAAGACAATGATCAAACAATTGTGTCACTGGATGACCTATAGTGGCTATAGTTTCTGTTTTTGCGGACAAAGCACAGTCAAGAGCAGCAGTTTATCCCTAATATTCAAACATTCATCGCGGACGTACTAGCCTTGGCAATCAATATGATGGAGCCGGAGGCCTATCGAAATCTGCAGTTGTGTTGGCATCAGCCCGATCGACGCCATCTTGATGTAGCTGTCGGGTATACCACCGAAGACCATAAACGCATCCAGGGATACCAACATAATTTTGATGATGATATTGTATATGCAGGGTGTACAATATCATTGTGAAAATACATCAATTTTATTTAGAATCTTGGAGTCAATCTTGGGTAGCTTACCCGCGTGCCTACCCAAGAACCCTTACAAGGTGTTGCGAAACCATGCAAAGAATATCGACACTAATTATTAACGTGTTTATTGATTAAAATACAAATAAAACTAAATCAATCCTAAATCTTGTTTGGTAAGTCGATATGGAGTGCACATGTTCTATAAATAGGAACAGTTACAAAAGGGAAATATGAACGAAATACGTAGGTTGCCTTTTGCAGTAGCGATGAGAACACAGATTGATTGCTGATAACGTCGAAAATTACGTTTATGTATACATTACCTAAGGATAATTTCTCCTGAGGGATTTCATGGTAGGAATTCTATTTTGGAGACGCAACGTTACCACTGAAGATCTGCGTGACATTTCAGTATTTTTGTGTGGGTGATACTGGGGCCATTGAAGTTATAAATTCAATGCTGGGGCGTTGGTTTATAAATCATACAGCACTATCATACAAGCGCCCACCCTGTACATTAAATTCTTATAGCATCGTTAGATTGGTCAACCTGTCAATTTTTCCCCTCTTTCTATTATCACGGCGACGGTCGGCGGTACGATAAGTCGAGCGCCACCAGAAGATTCTGAAACCCTGCTTCTGGTCAAGGTCCGCGCTTTCGGAACGTTCTCGGAAGCCTCAGGTAATCAGAGGGAGGAACCGTATAACGGTAGCGAAAGTTAGCAAACCCGCCGCATAAACGGCCAACTAGCTCAGAGTTGGAAAATAAAATAAAAGCTTGAGATCTATCACAGCGGTGGTTCGTTCTCGTCCTTTGTTACCACTAACCAATAGGGTTGAACGCCATTTAATTTATATGTTAATTCTCCCCGTATGAAATTGAGAAGATACGAGAGTAGTAATAACAGTACAAATCCAGTTACGTACCAAAAGTAATACTGGTTTATTGTCAAATATTAAATTGTGTTGAATGTTTGTGTTTGAACATTTAAATTATTATAATCAAGTTATGGGGAATAAAATAGTTATTTGTATACTTAGGCCGCGAAGTCATTCTTTAACGTACCGAAAAGAAGATTGACGCCGAGGCCGCTTGCGGCCGAGGCAAGGCAACTTTGAGGGCGTTAAAGAATGACGCGGCCGTGGTATACACAACATTTTTTGTGCAATTGCGTAGAATCGTCAATAATAAAAATGAGATTTCGAAAATAATAATTTTCTTCGCAAATAGAAAGACGGCCAGTTTTCATTTTACCATGGAAATGAGATAAACAATGAATAATTTTTCGTGAAAGAAAAGTCAAAATGTGTGACTCCGAAAGTGATTCTTCGATATCCGGAACTCCTCCGGAAATAAAACTTGTTGTGAATTCTGCTGTGTTGCAGTTATGAGTTAGTACCTGAAAAATCGAAGCGGCAGTACGAAAAATGGTACAAGGACTTCAAGTGTACCTGTCAGTTTGAGTTCTAATGAAAATCAAAATGTTACAGTTTCAAAGTATAACGCTTCTAACACTTTAGACTTTATTTCAGGAGTAAGTATAAGTAACAATACGAACTGTAGGCTTAATATTAACCACGATACACTTACAACGGTATGCTCTTGCGCATCTAGCGTGACGTCACGTGCGAACAAAACCACAGAATATAGAGCAAAATTATCGACAAATCACACTGATTTGTGTAGGGATCGTCGCGTCGGGTATTTCTGGAATTTCGAGATCGTATGAAATAAACTCTAATCAAAAATATTGGCTCTAAACATCAAGTGCGGCTTTTTCAGTAAATATTATGTAATTGATGCGTTATCTTTAAAAGATTGAATCTCTCCTCCGTTTCCCTTTCATTTTGATTTTCATTATTGCTTGGTAGTTTTTAAAGTAGGTATAGCATCAGGATTCAAATGTCCGCTGTTTTTAAAAGTAGGTCTAATTAAGAAGTCGTTCCCTTAGCGGTGCTTCAAAATGTTCAGAACAAATACAGGCTATAGAACTAAACAGCAATGGAAAGACTTAAATACACCACTTACTTAATATTACCGTAACACCATTTTTGTTAATTTTGTCATTACGACGACTTGCAACAATCCATTTTTGAGAAAAGTCTTCAATTTTCCGAAATCGAAAGTAGTTTATTTCCGTTCCTTTTGTTGTTGTATTAGAATTGCCCCATTGAGCCACTACACAAGCTGGCATTTTGGAATTTTCACTAATGATTAATTAGCTATCAACAAATTAACCCTAAAGCTCGTAGATACAACTGATAAGTTGCAAACTGTCACGCGTGACATGTGTACTGGGTCGGGCCGTGCGTAAACATTTGAATTTTGGCGCCACACGTTCGCAGGTGACGTAATGCGCAGTAAAAAACGCATTTGAGAAAAATAATGAGCATACCGTGTGTAAGTGTATCGTGATATTAACATTTATCCAAAAGATTTGTAATTGCCTACATGCTGATTGTCAAAATATATATGACATTGTCTTACTTTAACGGCCGTCGCCATGACAGCGGCCGCGAAAGTGAATTTCGCGGCCGCCATGGCGAACGCGAAGTTGTTGTTTCGCGTCCAATTGCACAAAAAAAATTGTGTTCGTTGTAATTAAACTTATCCACCGAATTGTTTTTGATTCCCCATAACTTGATTATAATAATTTAAATGTTCAAACACAAAAATTCAACAAATTTTAAAATAGAATTGTCTCCACAATTATTGGATAGCAATTATACAACAATAAACCCCTTGTCCTAATCACAACTTTAAATTTAAACGTTAACACACAATACAATTATTGATAGACGCGATACCAGAAAATGTTTTTTTTTCTAACACGTCTAACACCCCTCTACTGCCCACTAGGATTATTTTTCTGTAGAGATTAGTTTTTATACAACTCTCAACGACGCATTTTAAAAAAAATTTCAACGTCAACACAAAATGAACTTGAAAATGGTTTCTTGATAACTAAAAAATAACTCAAATTAATTTTGATCTAATTCTAAAGTGATTAAAATATTGAAATGCCACATTTAATGACCTCTATTCTATATACTCGTATTTTTGTGCAATCTGAGAAAAACGTAAATGAGTCTAAAAACACCTAAATAACTACAAAAATTTCCCAGGATATAATCCCCCTCATTAGGGGAGATACCAGACCCCCCTGATCTAACGCAGAGGGGGCCACAGAGATAAATAACATTCACAAGTAGGCCACCAGTAAAAAACGGTTGAGAAGCACTGGGATAGCGTATCACACAAATACCACAAATATTCCCCCAAATATTCAAAATTATTTTCTTACTCACAAGTCTTAGTAAATTCACTGTAAAATTGAAATTCCCCAATTAACCAAACCCCTAATCGAGAATGATCGATTATTATTAAACTAATTGACTATCTATAGAACAAAAGGTTCCCAAAAGCAAAACGAAATACGATCGATAATTGTTTTGATACACACTGAAAGCACAAGTATGTAAACGTAACAATCTTGCCTTTAAATATAACGGTCGTTGTAGAGCACCTAAACTCAGTGGTACCGTGGTAAACTTTTCACCACAGGAGGGACAGATTCGGATGCGGGTAGGGCATTTTGAGGAGAGGTGGCCAATTTTGGTGCACATGGAGCAGTGTTTTGAGATGGTTCGCATGGATAGTATCTGCTAAACATGCAAACACTCGTGTTCGAGGAGACACTCTAAGGTGGATTTACTGGTGCTATGCTGCGGACGAGGGTGGGAAAACGATGCGCAGGGCGCGGGTAATTCTGGAGAGAGGTATGGGTTGAAGGGCTTCGGATTCTGTAATATGGCGCTCGACATTGCGGATAGCGCAGGAAAAGAACGGAGGTTTAGGTATGTGGGTTTTTGGCTTTATTAGAGTTGGATAAAGGTAATGTTGGGGTCACGGAAAAGGTGTTGAAGTTTTTGGTCATGTCAAGGGAATGGGGAGTTTTGTTGCGATCAAGGCGATGTGATTAAAGTTGAACGTTAGCTTGATCGGTTGTAGGTTAAAGTTGAGGATGGAGTTATATAGTTGTTTTTAAGAGGTGATGCTGTGCGGAATGTTGTGCATACAATAGCAGTATGTTTCGGATGAGTTTATCGAGTGGTGGGACATGACGGAGTCGTAAGAGGAGCTTGAAAGGACGAGTGTTCCATTTGTAGGTTGCATAGGTGTGGGTGTGGGGTGAGAACCGGAAGTAAGAGGCGACCACCAGAATGATAATGTAAAATAAATTTAACTGTGCCTTTCACGCAGCGGCTGTAGACCGGTTGGTCTCCGAATCGGCTCCGGTTGGCTGTTTGAAACAGGGACGGCTCTGGGGGCTCTGCTGGGCTGCTGTGGGACTGGTTACTGGACGGTTGGATGCGTACACTGGAAATACCGGTCACAAACGCGTTCCCACTACTTACACTTTTTGTAGATATCGCTCTTGAAAAATATGACCCAATCAGCTCGCCTTATCTTACAACGAGGAATGATATATAGGGGAGACCGGGGCAGGTTGTAACACGGGGCACGTTGTAACACTGCAAATTCTGTTAAACTGAAAAAATCTGGCAACATCGCAATATACATTTATTGAAAGAGCCTTCAAAACGGTTAGTCTGATGTAAGTTGTGGAAGTGTGCGTACTGCCGTGTTCTAGAAATACGACGGAATAACCTTTTTTGGCGCGTAAGTAAATGTTGCATGTTTTTGGTTTTTTTTGATTTCCTGGTAGATGCATTTGTACAGATCTGAGTTTTATGTCTTATATGAATCAGAATTCTCTAGACTACATGCTTGACTAGTTCTTTTTTTGAAATATCCATACACTTTTTTGTTGTGACTTGATAAAGAGAAAAATCAACATCGGGGTAAGTTGTAACAAACTCGCCGGGGCAAAATGTAACACGTTACAACTTACCCCGGGTTTAAGAATTAATAATTACCTACCTATATTTTGTTTTGTATAGGTAATTTTACAATGAGGACCTATAAGAAAAAAACGGAAAGAGGCAATACCTCGAAAGAGGACATGGAACAAGCCGTGAATCGTGTTTTAAATAACAATGAATCGCAAAGATCTGTAGCTAAAAGTTTAAACATATGTCATGTAACGCTTCACAGATATGTAAGAAAAGTTCAGAATTCTGGTCATAACGAAGGCCCCGTTAGTCTATCAAATGTTGGTTACTCTAGAAAACCTGTTTTTGATGAAAATCAAGCACAAAAACTTGTGGATTACATTAAACATGCATCGAAAATTTATTTTGGCCTTAGTCCAAAAGAAGTGCGAAAGTTTGCATATGAGTGCGCTCTTACATATAATGTCACAGTTCCTGATTCCTGGAATAAAAACAAATGCGCCGGAGAGGACTGGCTTACACAATTTTTAAAGAAGCACGAAGATCTCTCAATTCGGACACCCGAGGCGACTAGCTTACAAAGAGCCATAAGTTTTAATAAACAGAACGTGTCATCATTTTTTGACAAACTGGCAAGCGTAAGAGACAAATATAACTTTAATTCAGCAACTATCTGGAATTTGGACGAGACTGGAGTGACGACGGTCCAAAAAGTTAGCAAGGTTCTGGCGGAAAAGGGAACTAAGCAAGTTGGTGGTATCACATCAAGCGAGAGAGGTGTACTCGTCACTGTGTTGGTTGCTGTTAGTTCCTCAGGAAACTCTATTCCTCCGCAATTTATATTTCCCAGAAAAAAGTACCATGACTATTTTATACGAGATAGGCCTCCTGGAAGCATTGGTGCTGCAAATGGGTCAGGGTGGATGACATCTGACGAATTTTTTAAATTTATGGAACATTTTGTGTTTCACGTGCGTCCATCTCGAGAAAATCCGGTACTTCTGCTACTCGATAATCACGAGTCCCACTTAGCAATAAAAACTATTAATTTTGCTAAGGAAAATAACGTGATAATGCTGTCGTTCCCACCGCATTGCTCACACCGGCTTCAGCCATTAGATAGGAGTGTGTATGGTCCCTTTAAGAAATATTTGTCAAATTCTCAAGCTGCCTGGCTCAGGAATAACCCAGGTAAATCAATGACCATATACGACATACCATCTTTAGTTCGAGATGCTCTTCCACAAGCATTGACTCCTATAAACATAATGAAAGGGTTTAAAGTGTCAGGTATTGAACCGTACAACAGAGACATTTTTACTGATGACGAGTTTTTGCCTGCTGGCGTAACGGATCAACCATTGCCGAACGCTGAATCGTCAGCTACCTCGCCTGTGCTTCAATTATCTGGTTCCTCAAATGCTAATAGTCAAGACATGTCCCAGCCATCTACTTCTTCTGCTCATTGTGAACAAGTGATCCCAGAAAATGACTCGTTGAGCCCTAAAAATAAACAAGAACATACAATTCAAGTGCCAAAAGAATTTTCTCCAGAATTTGTGCGCCCGTTTCCGAAAGCTGAACAAAGGAAAACATCTACAAGGGGTCGGAAGAAAAGAAAGTCTGCTGTCTTAACCGATACTCCAGAGAAAGACGAATTGGAGGCAGAACAAAACAGCCGGAAGTCGAAGAAAACCAAAGAGATACAAAAGAAAAAGGTTGAAAAGGCAAAAAGAAAAGTTATGGTAGAATCTGATGGTAGTTCTGATGAAGAATGCTTTTGCTTGGTTTGCACTGAGCCATTTAGCAGAAGTAAGCCTAAAGAAAAATGGATTAAGTGTTTCCATTGTGAATTTTGGTCACACGAAGCCTGCACTGATGGGGGATTTCCTTATATTTGTCATAACTGCGATTCCGATGAAGACTAATACATAAAATATATAAACAGTTATATCTCTAGTTTGTGATTTTCAATAATATAGTTACATGTGTTTAGTTTTTGCTAAGAAACCGAATGTTTAGTTAATTTTACTATATGTTACAACTTACCCTGAGTGTTGTTACAACTTGCCCCTGATACGGGGCAGGTTGTAACAAATACAACAAGCATTTCAAAAAAAATCCTAGCTTATACTTTTACGTTTTTTAGTATCGTTACTGTGTTATTTTGTAGGTTAGATGTAAGAAAAGATATAAAAAAATATATTATAATTTTCCAAGTAAAATTGTTTAGATTAGAGTAAAAAGTAAATTTTTTGTTACAACCTGCCCCGGTCTCCCATCTTAACCGCTCCTACTATCCAAATAGGGTGCTAAAATTTAAAAACTGTCTAGAAAACGTAAATTTGTGCCCTCTAAAAGAATGCAGAGATATCAATGATGCATAAAAATGGTGTCATAATGTTTTCTCTAATAAATTTAATTCCAATTTCCCCATATTAAGGCGACGCCATAAAGTGAACGGCCCATCAAAAACATGGTTTGACGATGGTATAAGATCATCGTCTAAAAAATTACGATTTGTTCGTCATGACAAAACAATTTCCTGAACTAAAGAATTATTACCATACTCAAAGACTTCCCTATTGGCGATTTGGTCAGTCAATGCGTAACAGTGGAAATAAGAGCAGCACCGTTGATCTATTGAGAGGTCAATAATAGAACAGTGAACCAACCCACAAATATAGCCAATCATTTTAAGGACTTTTTCCGTCACATAGCACAAACTCTTAATAAATAATAATCAACAAAACCGAAACCGACATTTCACATTACTTCCCAAAAATGAATAATAATCCCCATACATTTGTTTTGCATGCATTTAAGTACCACTAGTGAACTATCAGTCCTTATAATTTCCAAATTAAAAAATAAACACTCGACCGGTCCGGGCGGAATAACACCAGTACTTATAAAACAAGTTTTACCATCAAAAATATCTCCACTGACATACCTTATAAAATCTGTCATTTAGCATGGGAGAATTTTCAAAAATGTTAAAAATTAATAACTTATATACGCAATTATCGTCCTATAGCCCTCAGCTCCACTTTCTCTAAAATATTTGAATATTGTTTCCTTGAACCCCTCCAAAGCTTCACTACAAAACACAAACTAATGTCGAAACAACAGTTCGGTTTTCAACCGAAATGCTCAACAACAGACGCCCTACAAAACTTTTATTGTAAGGTAATTAAATACATAGACAACGGAGAATGTCCAATAGGGATCTTCTGTGACCTTACAAGGGCCTTTGATTGCGTACACATTGATAAGTTGCTCTTAAAATTAGAGAATAATGGCATCAGAGGTGTTGGACTCAGCTGGATCTCCTCTTTCCTTTACAACAGGGAACAGTTTGTTTCTATTACCGGACTAGTAAACGGCACCAAGCAAATATTCAAATCGCAGAATAAAGTTATAATGTTGGGCTCCCGCAGGGATCGGTACTGGGACCAACGCTGTTTCTGTTGTATATAAATGATCTACTCACTTTCCTCGGGACAGAAGTACTCCATTTCTTATATCCGGATGACACGTCATTGCTGGTGTCCCATAAGGACGAGAAATTACTCACAAACTTATGCAATAATTACTTGCATAAGCTTAGTGCTTGGTTCAAAGAAGCTTCACTGTACGTATGTATGCCAAACGAATGAGTAAAAAATCAATCAATCTATCAATATATTATTATTATAAATAAAAAAAAGTTCCATTGTAGAAAGATGACTTGCTCAAACATCGTAAAAACACAAATTGTTATACAAATTTACGCTCCCATTCTAAAAATTTGGATATCTAAACTATAAGAACACAAAATGTAACGTATATGATATTACAATGAAGAAGCACAAAGACAAGAATTTGATCGATACTTTTCACGTCACTTCACTTCGAAGACGGATAGATCAATTTAAAAATACTCAAATTCTTCAAATTCTCAACTTTAATCTAATTAGTCAAATAGAGTTTAACACTAGCCAGGTTTATTTACATTAACTTAAAATGTTACAACGAAAGTATTTAGTATAATAAATGTTAATGAATATGCAAGTAATCGTCTATTTGCAGATAAAGGCAAGAATGGCGCAGTTTTACGACATTTCTCAATGAGAAAACGCTAATTTCCATCTTGTATCGATTACACAAACGTATTCATGCTAAAAAGTAGCGTAAAGAATGCACGAAACGCTTTCTGTTCAAGGTACGCCTTTCTAGTGTAGAAGAACAATGAATTTGTTACATTATGATACGTCAATCAATCTTATTAATCTGCCACTCTCAATTTGGCAGAAACGCTTCGAATAATGAACGAATTGTGTCATTGACTTGCGAAAGTGATAGACTATTTGTGCTGAGGTATGTACCCAAATACCATGTAACTATTTTCTAATCGTCGTAAGACTATACCCACTTCTTTATCCATTAGTAACGAACAGGTATTTTGCGTTATTATTAATGAACAGAGATATAAGAAAAATTATACATCATCGTCTGCAAAGTTGCAAAAACCGCCTGTGTAAGATCCTCCGCGCTCCTCTTGTTCAGAAGAAACAAAACGTTTAAGAACAAGACAATCGTTTATGGAAATAATAAAAAAGACAATTCCCGACATATTCACATGTAAGAAACAACAAAGAAATAATAGTTTCACACTCCGATCATGTACAAAGTTGGTGTTTTAGCGTGTCGACATTCAGTTACGATACCAAGAACATACTAATGCCTTCCCGAATGTAACCATCATTCTGTTGTATAGTTCTTCTATCCTTTATAGTCACGTTTGTATTTGTATTGATGCATTGTAATTCGTCATGTAAACCCCAAACTTACTTTATTGCCGCGCATGTATCAGTAATTCGCACACAAATTTAAACATTTTATGTGTGTATCGTGAAAATAATAAAAAATTATTATAAATTCAAAGCGAAGGGTGAGTGCGCTTTTATATCAATCACATCCTTTCAAATTTACCAACTTTGCATTGAGAAACATGCTGTTATGAATAACACAAATATTGCACGACTCCGTTTGCTAAAAGTATAGTCCGTACGACAATTTGTTAATTGGCGTTAATGGTCTTCTAACTGGTACGACAAATTTTTCAGCGACTCACGCAATCCTTTTAATTTGACCCTCGATACCTAGAAGCAATGTAACTTGAGTCGACGTATAAAATATCACACAAGTGCCGCGTGGTTCCATCACCGAAATTTAATCAGATTTGTCGATATCGGTGACCATTTGAATGCGTTTGAAGTGATGTCTAAATTAGCCATTTCATTATGTTTGCCGACACTTCGCAAGTTTTCGCAAAATAGCTATTAAAATGTTTTTGTTGCAGAAATTGAATCTGAGGGATCTAAAGAATTTATAGATCCGGAAGAATTAAAATCTTAACAATCCGATGGATTTGAAGTTGACTGATCTCAAAAGTATCCGAAGAAACTAAAAAATCAGATGAATTATTAGTAACAAAATGATCTTCCAAATCGGATGCATTCGAAAAAGTATACATATAATCGAAGAATTCAGAAGGATTAAATTCGAAGGAATAGAATTGGAAGAATTCAAATAAATGGAATAGTTTGAAGAGTCGGAGCACCACAAGAATCTGAATAATCGAACGAATTGAAAGAAACTGAAGGATCCGACAAATCTTAAGCATCTAAAAAAGCTTCGACTTGAAGAATTTGAGGAACAAAAGTGTAAAGAATTTGAAAATGTGAGTAACTTTAAAAGACACCCAAGAATCTTGAAAGTCTGACAGAACTGATGAATCAAAGAAATCTGAATTAAAAAGAATACGACGGATATCTGAAAATGAAGAATGGGAAGCATGCAATTTTGAATAATACAAACAATTTGAAGTCTGATGAATCTAGAAAATTGTAATAATCTAAAAGAATCGAAAGAGAAAAAACATTCCGAATAATCTGAGAACCTTAAAAGATCAAAAAAATCTAAATAGCTATTCTGAAAAATCAAAAAGTCGAATAAATGCGAAGAAACCAAAGAACTTAAATAGTTTTACGAAGCTGACAGATTTTAAGAAATTAAGCTGAAACACTGAAAGAATTCGATAAAAAGAAAGAATCTGCTGGAGCTGTGGAACTTGAATAAGGATCGGAAGAATTAAAACAAACAGCAGAACATAAAGGATCACATATATCTAAAGGATATTATTTACACAAAACGAAAGATTTGAAGAATTTGAATAATCTGAATCTGATTTACAAAAAAACCAAATATGTAATCTGAAGAACCTAAAGTAATCAAGAGCCCGAAAAATAAAAAAGAAAACAAACCAAAATATCGGAAGAATCCGATTCACTCAAAGAAATAGATTAATTGGAAATAATTCGAACACTATGAAGAATTGAAATCGCAATCTACCGCATCTATGGCCCTTCCTTTCCCCGTTCAGTTAACTGGAATCAAAGAGTATACGTTGTATACTCTTTGCTAGACCTTACATTGTCTCAGAAAAAAAGTCAGTTTCCTAATTCATTTTTGAGAAATTGTTCTTTCAAATCCAAATTACCTACTTTCTCTTTAGGACGTAATCTAACGCTACGTCCGCGTCCTTCTAAACTGTCATCAAACCAAACTTGTTTATTGTTATTTTTTTTATTGTCTTTATTTTATAGTGGGCGGAGTGTTATCTAATGAGCTACTCTTCCCACTCAACCCACTATACAATCACAAACAGCCATGCCTTACCTGGGATTCGTACCCAGGACCCTTGTAGCCAAAGTTAGAGCTACTAATGTAAACTCATCCGAGCTACGCAGGTCGGTCAATATAGGCATCTCACTTTCGTATCAATTGAAAGATTAATGCATCCGGAGTAATTTTGAGTAATGATAATTACCGGCCGGCCAAAACTTGACATTCCACGGACTGCCGGCGAACTGAACGTGAGTGTCTCCCCACTGCACTGCACCCACTACAACGTATCATACTATGACCGTAATAGGAACATGCGAGGCAAAAAAAATATTGTTTGCATGGAATAGTATGGGACTATGCCCCTAGATCGTTTAGTCACCGACCAGCACCGTAACGTGCATGGACGGAGCATCAACGAATATTTTGACGGTGCCAATACGCTCCGTGCATGGCACGCGACGATCCCAAACCGGTGCGCGCAGGT